AACCAGTGAATTAACACACCACTACTATCCCTAATCAAACCTCCTATACCACCTTTAGTTCAACCCTTCACCATTGCTCCATCAACATTGATCTTTAAGAAACCATCTGGAGGAGGAACCCAGCAAGTAGGTTGGGATCTTCCTTTCTTCTGTCTATCAACCGAATCAGTAAGAGTAAGATCACCCACTAATGAGTCAAAAGGGATCTGCGTGTCAAAACTAGCAGCAAACCAAGAAACAATTCTAAATCGAGCAATAAAGAACAACATCACCACATCCAACTTTTCCTTCTTAAAAATAACCTCATTCCTGCTTTTCCATATCGTCCAAAATACGGCCCTTGGAATGGATTTCCAAATACAAGAATTCGGAAGTAGATCATCCCACTGAATAATACAGTCTAATATGTTATTTGGAATACTCCAAGAAACGTTCCACAAATTTGAAAATCTGGCCCACAATCCCCAAGTTACCTCACACAGCAGGAAAAGATGTGAAACTGTTTCCCCAAAACTGCCACACAATGGACATAAGGGATCTTCAATCCCGACCACTCCACGCTTCAACAATTCCTCCTTAACCGCCACTCTCTGATGAACAACTTGCCATAAGAAGGCTTCAACCCTGGGAGGTGCTATCCCCGCCCAAATATTTCTATCCCAAAAATCTTGATTCCCCTCAATACTGACCGAATCAAGAAAACTCTTAATACAAGAATTAGTAGAGAAGCATCACTCTCCATTCCCTAACCAAATCCAGCAATCCTCCTCATGAGACAATGTGATGTTATTCAGCATAGAAATCAAGTGCAACCATTGCTCAATCTCCCAGTCCACCAAATTCCTTCTCATTTGAATATCCCACAACCAACCTGTAGTATTACCTGTAGTATTATTCACCCTAAACTCCACCACTTTACCCGTTTTATTAATCGATAGAGCATACAGCCTAGGAAACAAATCTTTAAGGGGGACTTCTCCCAACCAAACATCATTCCAAAAAGACACAGAGTGCCCGTTACCAGCTTTCAACCGCAAATTATTCCTAATACAATCCCCAAACCCATCATTAGAAAAGAAGTTGTTAATGACACCTCTCCAAATCCAAGAGGCACGAGCCGTCCAATTATTCTCCAACATTTTGCAACTCGGGTCCAAGTTGTTCACACAACAAACCACCCTCTTCCACCAAGAATCCTTTAAAGAGGCAAACTTCCATACCCATTTACCCAACAATGCTCTGTTCAAAATAGCTAAGTTCGGGATCCCTAGACCCCCCAACCTTCTCGGCTTATTGACTAATTCCCAGTTCACCCAATGTATGTTTCTTTTATCAGTCGAACCCCCCATAAAAAAACAGCCATGATCGAGTTTAATTTCTTCAACACCGTAACTGGAATTCGAAATAATGAAAGGAAATAAGTAGGAAGAGAGCATAACACAGCTTTGACCATCACCACCCTTCCTGCTAACGCTAGAGAGTTTGCCTTCCAACCAGTCAATTTATTATGAAATTTTTGCACGATTGGTTCCTACATCACAACAGAATTTCTCTTGTACCCCAAAGGCAAACCTAGGTATTTCGCTGGAAAATTACCCATCGAGCAACCAATTTCCTTAGACCAATCGGCTAGCACATCCTCCTCAACATTGATGCCTGCTCTTGACTAGATTAATCTTCAATCCCACCAATAACTCATATATCAACAGCACCCTTCTGACATTCTTCAAATCCCGAATTGAAGCTTTTGAAAAAATAATAAGATCATCCGCAAATTGTAGATGCGATAGCTTAAAGGAACGGTCCTGAACTCCTAGCTCAAAGCCCGAAAACAGCCCCATATCCACTGCTTTAGTTAGCAACAAATGTAACAATTCCCCACCCAAATTAAACAGCAAAGGGGATAACGAACAGCCCTGTCTAAGACCTCTTCCCATATGAATTCTCTCCGTAGGAGTCCCATTCATAAGAACCGAAATAGAAGCAGTTGACATACACTAATACATCCAAGAACGCCATTTTTCTCCGAACCCTATTTTACCCATTATTTTCAACAACACCGACCAATCAACTGAGTCATATGCTCTCTTAAAATCCACCTTGAAAACCACCCCCTTCAACCCTTTCTTCCTCCAAAAATCAATTCCTTCATTTGCTATAAAGGAACAGTCCAGTATGCTCCTCCCTTGAATAAATGCAAATTGAGACGGACTAACTATTTCATTAATGCACAGACTGAACCTCCTAGCTAAGACCTTTGATAAAATTTTATATAGCCCTCCCACAAGACTAATTGGCCTAAAATCCCTCATCCCCTCCGGGTTATCCTTCTTAAGAATAAGGGAAATGAAAGAATGGTTCACCTCCAAGTCCCACTCCTTCCCCTGAAAAAAATCCTTAAAAAACAACATAATATCATCTTTCAAAGTGGTCCAGAATTTCTTGAAGAAACCTAAGTTCAGACCATTAGGGCCAGGAGCTTTGTTTGTATCCAAGTTAGCAATTGCTCCCCAAACCTCCTCTTCCGAAAATGGCTTCTCAAGAGCCAAACTCTGACCTTCTTATAGCTTGAGAAAATCCAGATTTAACTCCTCTGCCTCCAGTGAATTACTCTGAGTAAACAATCCACTAAAAAACTCCACTACTGAATCTCTAATTAGGGTAGGATCTTCTATAACTTCATTACCCATTCTAAGGGACTTAATCCCGTTTTTCCTCCCTCTAACTGTAGCACTATGATGAAAAAATCTGGTGTTCTTATCTCCCTCCATTCTCCATTTCAATCTCGATTTTTGCAGCCAAATCGATTCTTCTTTCTTATGAAGCTCCCATAATTCTTTCTTTGCTTCAATTATTGATTTCATTGTCACCGAGTGAAGACCTTGTTGCATATCCAATTCCATGTCCTGAATTCCTTTCTCCAACAGTTTAATTTTCCGGGGCAACTCTACATAACCCCTCTCAGACCATCTCTTTACCACATCATTCACCCGCTTTAGCACCCTAGACATGGGCTTCCCCTTTTCCTCTCTACAAAATTTATTCAGCTCCTTTTCCATCATCTCAGTAAAACCCTCCTCCTCCATAACATAGTTAAACAACCTAAACGGTTTCAACCCCCAATTACATTATTTGTTCTCCAACAGAATAATATTATGATCGAAAATTAACCTTGGCTGCAATGATTGGCTTATCCTCGGAAACAATATTACTAATCTCTGATCAACCAAAAAACGATCCAACCTCTCAAACGTAGGAACTTCCCTATTATTGCACCATGTAAAACGGCCTCCAGACATTGGTAGATCAAACAAATTTGCCTTGCACACAAAATCTCTAAACATATTCATAGAAACCGAATTCACAGCTCCTCCTTTCTCCTCCTGTGACAGGATTGCATTAAAATCTCCTCCTAAGCATAATGGACAATCAACGTTCTCCACAAATGCTAGTAACTCCCTGAAGAACATCTCCTTATCTGCATCCACACTAGGACCATACATATTTATGAAACAACTTCCTGTAAAACCATCCATAGTCCCTTTAATTGCTACAAATCTGCTACAAATGACTACATCCTTCACCACAAATTCATTCTTATTCCACAAGGTTATTAATCCACCAGCAGAACCTATAGCAGGAGCTATTGCCGATCCAGTAAGTAAATTCCCCCCCATTTTCCTCACTAACAGATGACTGACAATCTCCAATTTAGACTCTTGTAAAAATAACATTGTGGGGTTTTTCTCATCCACAAACCTCCCAATAGCTCGAGCTTTCACCCTCCTACCCAACCCTCTAACGTTCCAAGACATCGTCGACCACTCTACCATCATTAACATTCCATAACCTAACAACCCAGTTACAGCTACTTTCCCTCCTTCGAATTACTTTCATTAACCAGAGTAACCATTTTGGCCATAAAAGCTTCCTCTCCTCCTTTGAACTTAACCCCCAACAATTTGAACACATTCCAACACTCCAAAGCCTCTGCCACCCCCTCTGACTCATTCTCTACAACGGAAACCAACTCCTTGCCATTGTAGCTTTTAGCTTCCCACCTCCTAGAATACACATGCTTATAAAAATCTCTTTCAATATTACTTACTGACGCACATTTCCCAGTATGCCGACGCCTCACCGATGAGATTGACCCGTCCTGCAAGCTTAAAGCATTTTGTTCCTTTGCCATTTTTACAGATTTAATGCCATCCCTCTTTGACCATAACCTTCCTTGTTCAGGCCCGCTTGTTTGACTCCTAACCATGCTTGTAGAAAGCCCATTATCTTGGACGGCCTCATCATGGCCTACTATGCCACCTCCCAAGGTTCTCTCCTTTTCTCTCTTCATTAAAATCCTCTGATACTCCCTTTTGACTGGGAACATCACCTACTGCTGCCTCCTCAGAACAAAAGTCAACAACTAGCATATTTTTTGTTCCTACTTTTATATTCAAATTTCCATCGATATACGTATCATCTCCTTGATTGTCACCCCAAACCCATGCTTCAACCCTTTCCTGAGAATCTGACAAGGACTGATTACTCAACTGCTCTTCTTATCTCCACTGAACATCACCCTGACTCCAATCCGACGATTTCTCCTCCCAAGAAGCCATTGTTCCGTCTTCTTCAACCACATCATCCAACTCTGGAAAAAAAATCACTCCCTTCCACTTTGATTTTAATGATAAACGATCTTCCATACGTATTAATGGTGACTTGAGGAGGAATATCAAAAGCACTCTCCACCCTCAGCAACATATGTGCCACTCTACAGTCCACTCTTTGAACTGTTTGTTCCTGAATCTTCACTAGCTTACCCCATCTCAATGCCAAGTTGGTGAAGAATGGAACCGTCCAACAATTTAATGGAACCCCTAACAAGGAAACTGCACAGTAAGCTAATGGAACAAAACTCTCCTCCATAACAGAATCCAATCTTTCGAACCAGAAGGACAGAGCCTCCCACTTATCTTCTATCGCTGCTTCTTTCTCCTCCACTGTGTTGAAGACTATCAAACATGCATTCTTTGCATAACCCCACCTTACCACCTTAGCATTGAATCCCTCTGTCCTTAATGCCCTCTGCACAAAATCCACTTCGAAAATCGCCTTACAAATGCCTGTTAACGACGACCTCAGCCATCTTCTCTCCATTGGAATAAACACTTGCATAGGCTTTTTCACCTCCCTCTTATCTCCTACATTGCTCAAATGTTGGACAATAACTTTTTCACCCCCACTAGCATATCCTTGTATGTCCTACCATCATAAAACTTATTCAACAGCTCCTTCTTCCCTTCATCATCCACAGGGGATATTGGTTTTTTCCTATTCGGCTCCTCTATGCCTGTCTCTCCAGTCCCCACCCCGCTATATCTCTTCAAGTTCCTCGCAGCACTATTCCTCTGATATTTCGCAATCGACACCAATATTTTCCTCCCATCGATCACAACACTATTCATTCGTTCCACTGCCTTCAGCAAGTCCTCCTTGCTAGCAAAATGCACAAAAGCAAAAGTATTGACCTTATAGTTTGGTCTCCTATTAACGAACGAAATAAAAACCTTAATCACCTTGCCATGAAAGCTAAAACGATTCCATAAAGCACTTCTATGCACTCCCCTACTGAGATTATCAATGAACGCTACCCACGATACTCCTCTAGATACCACTTTACCTCTGTCTCGAGAAGTGTTTGTTACCCTCTCCTCGCTCACTCTCTCTAGCTCTCTCACTCATGATTTTTTAGTGGAACATTTGTGTAGTTGTTTGAACTTGTTTTGAAATTGAAAGCAATTGTTCACAATCAGAAGGTTAAGGGACTTGGTAATGAACATATGGACGATACTTCTGGTGTAAAAGATGCCGAGCAGAAGAAAGATGTCACTGTGATTGAATCAGATCATCTTGATAAAAAGAAGAAAAAGAATCTATATTTGCTGTTGATGTGGAGATGCTGAGTATATCTGCTAAAGTTGGAGATGGAGTTGATGCTCTTGTGCAAGTTCAGTCGATTTTCTCTGAGAATGCCCACATAGGAGTACTTCTTGAAGGCCTGATGCTTAGTTTCAATGGAGCCCGAATATTCAGAAGCAGTCAAATACAAATTTCTCGTATTCCCACTACTTCCGACTCATCTGATGCAAAAGTACCAGTGGTCATTTTGTGGGATTGGGTGGTTCAAGCACTTGATGTTCATATTTGCATGCCTTTCAGGCTAGAGTTGCGAGTCATTGATGATGCTTTTGAGGAGATGTTGCGAGCATTGAAGCTTATAACCAAAGCTAAAACTGAGCTAATTTTCCCCATGAAAACAGAAAACTTAAAACCTGAAAAGTATAATTCAACAATTGCAAGGTGTAAAAATCTGCATACACAAGTTGACTGCTGATATTGAGGAAGAACCAATTCAGGGTTGGCTTGATGAGCATTACCATTTAATAAAAAATGAGGCCTTGGAGTTAGCTGTTAGGTTGAGATTTCTTGATGATTATGTTTTGGCAAACCAGTGTCCTAAGACTGCAGAAACCAATGATTCTGCTTGTGAAAGGAGGATTCATCATAATGGACTTGAGATTGACGTCCAAGATCTTAAAGCAATCCAAAAAATGCAGGAAGAGATATATAAACAGTCTTTCCGATCCTATTACTTGGCATGTTAGAGGCTAAAACAATCGGAAGGCTATGGTGCTTGTAGGGAAGGCTTTCAGGCTGGTTTTAAGCCAAGCACTGCAAGAACTTCTCTTCTTTCAGTTTCAGCTACAGAGTTTGATGTAACCTTGACAAGGATTGATGGTGGAGATGACGGGATGATAGAGCTCCTAAAGCAGCTTGATTTTGTATGTTGTGAAAGCAATATACCATTTTCTCGTATGTATGGGAGTAATATTCTCTTAAACACTGGCAGTCTTGTTGTTCAATTAAGAAATTACACGTCTCCTCTTTTTTCAGTAGTTTTTGGTAGATGTGAAGGCCGTGTTGTACTGGCACAGCAGGTAAACTCCTAAGCTTAACACCCCCTCTTTTTTTCTTTTACTTGTCCCATCAAATGCAAAGATAATCACATTTGGAATTTTATCTTATATATGCCCTTTTTGAAGAAAGAAAAAAGTAGGGTGGTAGGTTGCTTATCTTACACTGATTGAAATTTTTTTCGTTGAAATTAGGCAACATGTTTTCAGCCCCAAATTTTTCATGATGTCTTCATTGGGAGATGGAGAAAGGTCTGCATGCTTCGTTCAGCTAGTGGTACAACACCACCAATGAAAACATACACGGATTTGCCTATACGTTTTAAAAAAGTGGAAGTGTCCTTTGGGGTGGGATATGAATCGGTTTTCGCTGACATAAGCTATGCTTTCTCTGTTGCACTTCGTAAGGCTAATTTAAGTAATAGGAGTCCTGGTCTTCAACAGCCTCCAAAAAAGGAGCGGAGCTTGCCATGGTGGGATGAAATGAGAAATTACATCCATGGAAATATCACCTTATTCTTTTCTGGAACTAAATGGAACATTCTTGCAACTATTGATCCTTGTGAAAAGCTTGATAAGCTTCAAATTGTTTCTGGTTCCATGGAGATACAACAATCCGATGGTCGTGTGTATGTTTCTGCCAAGGATTTTAAAATTTTCTTGAGCAGTTTGGAGAGTTTGGTTAATAGTCGAAGCTTAAAACTTCCTACCATTGCATCTGGTGCTTTCCTTGAAGCTCCAGTCTTTAGCCTCGAGGTTACAATGGATTGGGAATGCGAGTCTGGTAATCCCATGAATCATTATTTATTTGCTCTTCCTATGGAAGGGAAACCTAGGGAGAAAGTATTTGATCCTTTTAGATCTACTTCTCTTTCCCTCCGATGGAACTTTTCTCTTAAACCCCTTCTTCCCCCATTGGACAAAGAGTCCCCATCTGCCTCTGCCTCAGATTGCACTATTCTAGATGGAACTGTAAATGGAGCACAATGTAAGGCGAAGAAAGTTTCAATTACTTTACCAACATTCAATGTCGGTGCACATGATCTAGCTTGGATAATTAAGTTTTGGAATATGAACTATATTCCTCCTCATAAATTGCGTTCCTTTTCTCGATGGCCTCGTTTTGGAGTTCCAAGAGTTCCTAGATCAGGAAACTTGCCATTAGATAGGGTGATGACAGAATTTATGCTCCGTTTAGATGCTACGCCTGCTTGCATTAAGCATATGACATTAGACGATGATGATCCAGCAAAAGGACTCACGTTTAATATGATAGCTTAAATATGAAATCTGTTACAGTAGGGGTAAGCAAAAATATACTTTTGAATGCAAGCGTGATCCTCTTGATCTTGTGTACCAAGGACTTGACCTTCATATGCCTAAGGTTTTTTTAAACAAAGAAGACTGCACTAGTGTCAAAAAAGCAGTTCAAATGATGAGGAAAAGTTCTCAGTCTGTATCCATGGAGCAAGTTCCCAGTGAAAAAAGTAACTATATGAGTGCTTGCACAGAGAAGCATCGTGATGAAGGATTTTTGTTGTCATCTGATTATTTTACTATCAGGAGGCAGGCCCCAAAGGCTGATCCTGCAAGGTTATTAGCCTGGTAGGAGGCTGGAAGAAAAAATCTTGAAATGACATGTTAGATTTGAATTTGAGAATGTGAGTGAGAATGATGAGCATGCACGATCTGATCCTGGTGATGATGATGGTTACAATGAGGTTATAGCCGATAATTGTCAACGTATTTTTGTTTACGGCCTTAAACTTTTGTGGACCATAGAGAATAGGGATGTTGTGTGGTCATTTGTTGGTGGAATTTCCAAAGTATTTGAACCTCAAAAGCCTTCACCTTCTCGGCAGTATGCACAGAGGAAGTTGGTTGAGGAGAAACAAAAACTTGGTGAACCTGAAATGCCTCAAGAGGATCCTTCAAAGTCCCCTACTGCAAATCATGGCGTTCCTTGTGCTTCTCAGAACATGGAGCCATCAGGATCATATTCATCTCAAACACATGCAGTTGTCTTGGAGAATTCATCTACTACTGCAGCTGGTATGTCTCAAGATGACTATGATATTTTGAGATTTTGTTTTACAAGTTAAGTTTGAGATGCATGTTTTTCTTTTAATGCTAGAGATGTTTTCTAATTCTAAATTCATTGTTCAACTGCCATGGATGTTAGCTGCATCAAAGACATTTTTATTAGTATAATTATGTTGCTAAATTACATAAACATTTTTTTCTTTCAAAAAATTGCTGTTGAGACTTGTTTGTTTTACTGTAGCACTAGCAAAATATGAGAAGGTCAATGATTCTGGAGAAAAAGAGACTCGACATTTTATGGTGAATGTCATTGAACCTCAATTCAATCTTCACTCTGAAGAAGCCAATGTGAGTTCTGACATATGTGCATCTTATAATCTAGTTCAATCCTTTGGGAAACATTCAGAAAATTTCTTTTACTTATGAGATCATTGCCTAAGTTCACCTCCTATATGACATTTTTTTTGTTTCTCTTCGTAGTGATTCTTGATGATTGTCATCTTATGTTAGTCATGTTAGTAAAGTTACTTATTTCATGCCTATCAGGGGAGATTTCTTCTCGTTGTTGTTAGTGGTCGTGTTTTAGCTCAGTCATTTCATTCAGTTCTTCACGTTGTTTCTGAGTTGATTGAGCAAGCTCTTGGTACCGGGAATGTTCATATTCCTGAAGGTGGGCATGACATGACATTGAAGCGCATGGAGTTTGTTATGATGCTAGAGCATGTGCAGGCTCATGTTGCACCAACTGATGTGGATCCTGGGGCTGGATTACAATGGCTTCCAAAAATTCGTAAAAGTTCTCCAAAGCTCAAACGTACTGGTGCTCTACTTGAAAGAGTGTTTATGCCTTGTGATATGTACTTCCGATACATAAGGCATAAAGGTGGAACCTCAGACTTGAAGGTATGCAATATTCTTGAGGTATTTGTTTCTGTGAAGATGTCTGTATCCAAATCCAAGTATTTGATTTTAAATAAAAAGAGATGTAATCTAATGGAAGTATTAAAACTAAATGTTTCATGAAGGAAAATGTTGATTTAAAACAAAAACAAAGATGAGGGTAAATGTTCAAATATTAGTATTTAAAAAGAGCATTTGAGATTAAGGAGCAATGGAGAGAGTGAGAGAGCGAGAGTGTAAGTTTTCTGATGGAAAAGTGAGTGAGGTCCATGGAGGGGGTACTTGGTCTGCGTTTGTTGATAATCTTAGTCGGAGAGTGAGCAGAAGAACATTAGGGGAACATTTTAGTTATCATGGCAAAGTCATTAGGGTGTTTATTCCATTTATCAATAACAAACCGAAATACAAGGATTGCACGTTTTTTTTTCGTTCACTTTGCAAGCGAGGATCTATGCAAAGCGGTGGAGAAGATGAATAATGTCAGGGTTAATGGGAAGATAATTTATGTGTCAGTAGCTAAATATGACAAGCTATCCGAGAGGAAGAGTCGTGAAGGGTTTAGAGCGGGGGGTTCCAAAAGGGTAGAAACAGGTGAGTTGAAAGGCAGAAGAATGACTTCTCCAGCACAAGTGGCAGAGAAAATGGAGAGGATGAATAGGTTCCTTGATGGAAGAACGTATAGAGACACGGTAGTTGGGGTGAAAAAAGTTCCAGAGGGTCTTCAAGTAAGCAGTCAAGGGAATAAAAAAGAGAAGAAATCTTTGGAAGTCTTTATCCCGGTGGAAGAGAGAATATGGTTGAAATCTTAACTTACTTGCATTTGTAAAGATATCTTCGAAGTTGACTTTGTGCATAAAGCCTTACGGAATGAGGGCTTCAATGTGAAAGTGATAAGGTGGGGTTTTGCGAAGAATGCGTGTCTTGTAGTTTTTCAGTCGGTCGAGGAGAGAAGAATTGCAATGGAAGAAAGATGGGAAGCTCTGTCGTTCTGGTTTCAATTATTGGAGCCGGTTGTGGAAGAGAGGGGCATCCCATTAGCTTATTGTGCGATTTCAATGGTTGGTGTTCCATTAAATTGTTGGTCGGTCCCGTTCTTTTCTAGTTTAGCATCCAGATGGGGCAAGTTAGTTAGAATTCAAGTTCAAACTGCACATAGAGTGGATTGCAGAGTGGCACAGTTGTTACTAAGGTTTGAGTCCATTTGATATTCCCGAACATGTCATCATCAATACATATGGGAGGAAGTTCATGATTAAAATTAAGGTTGAATGTGTGGAGGATTTTTTTCCTGAGTTAACAGACATGGAGGAAGAAGTTGCAGAAGACCCATGGGAGAAAAGTTCTTCGGAATGGAGCAATGAAGAAGTGCAAAATGGGCAGGAAGAGCAGGTGGGAGAGGAGCTGTCAGAATCCCAAAATAGGGTTGACGAATGTGTTAGAAGTTCCCAACCAGGGATACACACAAATACCGAGAGGGGTTTGAATTTAAACATAGGTATGGAAAATACGTTTGACCTGTGCAAAGATGTGACTGAGGGAGGTAATGTCTCCATCCAGCAGGAAAAGTCAGAAGAAGTTAATGAAGGGAGAGAAAATGGGAAAAGTCTGGGAGATCCTTCCAGTGAGCATGAGAAAGTTGACTGTGGGAGTGGGTTTCTTAGGGGCCCGGTAGTACAGGTGAGGAGTGGGCTGGATCAAGAGAAGGAGAGATTAAGCAAGGATTATTGTATTACTACAACATGATTCAATGTTGTGCAGTATCATACTTCCCTGCAGGAGGGGTCTGTTTCTGTGTCTGCTCAAAAAAATTCTGGGAAGACTGTATCTGGGAGTAGAGTGGGAAGGGGTAAGTGCAAACGTGTTTATTCACGATCAAGGAAGGAGGGATCTAGGAGCCGTATTGGTACAAGTTCGGAGCATGCTTATAATAATGTGAAAGTGGATGGGGCAGAGGCTTTGGAGTGCTGGAGCGTAAGTGAATTATTAGGGGTCACATTTAGAGGGGGAAAGAAGCTTTTATGAACAAAACGATTCCTTTGATAAAGGAGAGAGAAGTACAAGGGGTAATTAAGGGGTGTTGGAATTCAGGGTTATAGCTGGATATTGATGACTAGTTGGAATTTAATGTCTTGGAATATTAGGGGTTTGGGTAGGAGGGTAAAGGCTAGAGCTGTTAGGAGGGTTGTGGAGGAGAGAAAGCCTTTAGTTTTATTCATTCAGGAATCGAAAATGGAAGTGGTGAATCAATCGGTAGTGAGGAAAATGGGAGGAAATTTGTTGACAGCTGCGGCAGTTTCAGCAGCTGAAGGTTCTGCTGGTGGTCTGATTACTTTGTGGAATGAAAAAGAGTGTCAGGTTCAAGAGGAGATCATTCATAGGAGATTTATAGCAGTTAAGGGTACTATTGATGAGGTACTAGGGTCTTGCTGGTTCATAAATGTGTATGGACCGAGTGTGGATTCAGAAAAGGAGGCGTTCTTCGGGGAGTTGTTTTTATTTCTGGAGAATTTAGACAGTCCAGTCTGTCTCGGAGGGGACTTCAACGTGGTTATGTCACAGGAGGAGAAGATTGGAGGTTCAGTGAATTTAGCTTCAATGTTTGCTTTCAGAGAATTTGTGAGTAAAACTAATCTAGTGGATTTGTGATACATGCACCAGAGTCCATAATACATGCTTCTTTGGACTAATGTTTCTACTCGAACCTATTAGAAGAACAAAGTCTCGAAGATTCAAAGCATATCTATTCGGTAAGCATAATGTGAATGAATTATTAAACTATTCTAATTTTGCTCCCTTTAATGTTTCAGATTCGAGGTCGAATCTTTTTGAAGAAAGGGAGGATGATACATGCATCACAAGGCTCACATCAAAGGAAGAAGTAATAACTCTTCCAAATGATCCACTCGTCCAAGCTTTGGAAAAGAAGATCAGAACAGTAGCAGACTGTAGATGACTTTTTTGAATGGGATCCTGATCTTATTTGGTCAACATATCTTCTGGAGATACAACCGTCTGTCCCTTATCTTTCTAACGGTTATTGAATCGTATCAATCCGATATCGGGAACTCAAGATATGGCCATTTTACTGAAGACGGTGCATGCAGAAAATCCTATACGGGATTAATACGGGATTTTGTAAATATTACGAATTTTCAATATTTTTATTGATTATTTGTAATATAACTTAATATATGATGATGCATTATCATTTAGGATTAGATTTATTATTTTATTAGGAATTAAGGTTGGGTTAAAATATTATCTTTAGTTATTATTATTTTATTAGGAATTAGAGTTAAGACATGTTTAGTTTATTATTATTTTATTCATTAGTTATTTAGGACCTTTAGAACTCAGCCCCTATATAAAGGAGGCTTCATTCTACTTTGTAAATCAGATTTCTTTGATTAATAATACAACGAGAGTTCGTTTTTGCAAGTGTTGATTGCCTTGTTCCTTCGAAGCTTCTTCTCCTGGAGTTCTTTCAAGTTCTTGTGAGGGAGATTAATCTTCACACTCCAATTTGCCTTTTCATCGCGACTAGGAGGGTTGGTTAGAGCCATTTTATCGTGTTTTCCTTTTCATTGCGACTAGGAGGGCTCGATAGGACACTTATCCATCTATTTTTCCACAAATCCATCCGCACCATCAATCATCTTTACCGTTCACCTTCATAAGGGAGATCTTTTGATTTCTTTATTATCTTATTTCATCTTTCATTTATTTATCTTTTGTTTATTTTATTCTAATCGTGTTGTCTTGATTCCAGCACATAAAAGAAACCCAAAATAATCCTAGCGACTGTCGCCACCTTCCCATATTCATCACCTTTGTTCTTCATCGAGTCTAGAGCTTTCTAGGTTTGATTCTTCAACAAGAGCAACGTTCATCAATCCGCCACCGCTTACCTATCAATTTGCCTATGGTTGGAGGTCGATTTACATGGTGCAACAATAGAGAAATTCCAACTTATGAGAGACTAGATCGGTTCTTAGTGGATCAAAGTTTTTTATCAGTGTTCCCTATGATAACACAAACTCCTAGAAAGGTCTGTTTCAGATCATAACAGCATCTTACTGGAAAATAGGGGATGGAATTGGGGCTCGAAACCGTTTAAATTATTTAACTATGTCATGGAAGAGGATGGCTTTTGTAAGATGATGGAGGGAGAGTTGCACAAGCTATGTAGAGTGGAGAATAGACAACCGATTTCTACCGTATTAAAAGGGGTGCAGGAAGCAGTGAAGAAATGGTTTAGGATGGGGTATTTAGAGTTTCCCGGGAGAATAAATAGGTTGGAGAAAGGAATTCATGAGAAGGAACTTCAGTTGCAACAAGGTCTCCCCATGGTGTCTATGAAGAATTTAGTGGAAGCAAAGAAAGAGCTGTGGGACTTGTATAAAAAAGAGGAATCGATTTGGCTACAAAAGTCAAGATTGAAGTGGAGTTTGGATGGGGATAAGAACACTAGATTTTTCCACCAATGTGCAAGAGGTAGAGGAAGGAGAAATGGTATCAAATCCATCAAAGTAGACAATGAAGACATTTCAGATCCAAAATTAATTAAAACTTCAGTGGTGCATTTTTTTCAAGGGGTTGTTTAATTAGGAAAATACACTGGAAGTGGAGGAACTGGACCTGGATTTTTTACAACTCTCGGAACAGCAGAGAATGGCCCTTGAGAAGCCTTTTTCTGAAGAGGAAATTTGGGGTGTAATTGCTAACTCGGATAGTAACAAAGCACCTGGCCCGGATGAACTGAATTTAGGTTTTTTCAAGAAGTTCTGGTCAAGTTTGAAGGAAGTTTTGTTGCTGTTTTTTAAGGAATTTTATGAGGGAAAGGACTGGGATAATGACACCAACCACTCTTTCCTTTCTCTTATTCCTAAGAAAGCCAATCCGGAGGGGTTAGAAGATTTTAGGCCAATTAGCCTAGTTGGGGTTTTTTATAAAATTCTTTCAAAAGTACTAGCGAGAAGGTTAAGTTTGTGTATTAGTGAAGTTATTAGTCCATCTCAATTTGCATTTATACCGGGGAGACACATTTTGGATTGTTCGTTTATAGCAAATGAGGGCATTGAGTGTTGGAAGAAAAAGGATTGAAGGGAGTTGTTTTTAAGGTGGATTTCAAGAGAGCCTATGATTCGGTTGATTGGAGGATATTGGTGAAAATAATGAGAAAAATGGGGTTTGGAGATAGATGGAGTTCTTGGATGTACAAGTGTATCTAAACAGCTTCCATTTCGGTTTTGGTAAATGGCACACCTACAGAGAGAATATACACTACTAGAGGATTAAGACAGGGTTGTTCATTATCTCCTATGTTATTAAATTTGGGAGGCGAACTGTTACATCTAATGTTGGTGAAAGCAATGAACAAAGGGATGTTTTCGGGTTTTGAATTAGGCTCGATGGGTCGTTCTTTCATGTTATCACATTTGCAATTTGCGGATGACTTAATAATTTTTAGCAAGGCATCTACTCATGATTTGGTGAATATTAGAAGGGTGCTTTTAATCTATGAATTGTTGGTGGGGCTGAAGTTGAATCTGAATAAGAGCAGAATTTTTGGAATCAATTTGGGGGAGGAGTTAACTTCTTGGGCCAAGGAAATAGATTGTTCAAGAGGAGCTTTTCCATCGGAGTATTTAGGTTTACTGTTAGGGGCTAAGAGGAATTCTTTTTCTTTGTGGGAACCGGTGGTACAAAAATTTTATAATAGTTTGGCTGGGTGGAAGGCAAAGTCTTTATCTTTGGCTGGACGGGCAGTTTTGGTTAAATCAGTGTTATGCTCTCTTCCAATTTATTACCTTTCTATTTTTATGATCCCTATTAGTGTTCTCAACAAATTAAATTCTATCATGGCGTCTTTTCTTTGGGGGGGATCGACAAAAAAAAAGAACATCCATTGGGTCAAATGGGAATTGGTGTGTAAGCCAAAGAAGTTGGGGGGTTTGGGGATTCCAAATCTGTTGCTTTTAAACAGGGCTTTTATGGGGAAGTGGGTGTGGAAATTTGCTGCAGAAAAATCCTCTTGGTGGAAAACAGTGGTTTGTTGTGTAAACAATATGGATCCAAATTCAATGATGATCCGGAATACTTGGACAGCACGCACTTCTTGGATTTGGAGAGGAGTTGTTAAGAATTTTTCAAGTGATGCATTTGGGGATTGTTTTAGGAAAAATTTGTGTTAGAGCTGGGAATGGAGAAACAATGCAGTTTTGGCATGATGTATGGTTGGGTACGGTTCCTCTGAAAGATAGGTTTCCAAGGTTATTTGCTTTGTCGAGCAACAAAGGGGGGAAGGTTGCAGAGTTCAGGCTGTATAATGACTCGGGTGGGGTCTGGGATATTCAGACAAGAAGGAATCTGGTGGATTGGGAGGTTGAGCAGTGGCTGCAACTTATCTCTCTCTTGAACAGTTACTCATTATCATTAGTTGAGGATGATTGTTGGATTGGGTTGGGAACTGGTGAAGGTTGTTTTACAACAAAATCATGCATGCAATTGTATTTTGATAGAGAGGGTAATGATGAAGTAGAAGGTAATTGGGAAAGATATGTTTGGAAGGGGGTAGCTCCACCACAAGTGGAAACCTTTGTTTGGCAACTTGCTCATCACAGAGTAGCGGTGAAGGAGGGACTGCTAAAGATAGGAGTTACTGGGGTGGAAGACACTATGTGCTCTTTGTGCAGGAAGTGTAATGAGTCGGTCTCACATTTGTTTCTGCATTGTGATGTGGTGTGGAACCTGTGGGCTAAGTTCTTAAAGTACTGGAATGTTTGCTTTGTGGTTCCGGCTAAGTTGATGGAATTCTTAATTGCGTGGGATGAGTTAGTTCCAAGATCTCTCATATGGAAGTTTATCCCTAGGGTTGTGCTGTGGTCGATTTGGAAATGTAGGAATGAGGTGATTTTCCAGCAAGGGAAGGTTGATTATGCGTTGTTGTTCTTCATTACAAGGTTCAGAATTGTTTCGTGGTTTGGAACTTTATTTAAGGATGTCCATATTCCTTTTGATTCCTTGATGGGGGACTTAAAATTAGCAGACTGTAATGGTAATTTGAATAAGAGGACTCCTCCTCCTTCTAGTTGGAGTCCTCCTCCGGAAGGGTTTTTAAAAGTAAATGTAGATGGTGCAATGGTCAAAGGTTGGGATAAGGGGGGAATTGGTGGATTGATTAGGGATGGTAGTGGTTTGGTGCTTGGGTCGTTTTCAGAGAAGGTAGGGGGAGGTCCTCCTTTACTTGCAGAGCTTTTGGCGATCAAAAGAGGGTTGATTCTTACTGAGGAAGTTGGTTACAGTCCAAGCCAGAGGATTATTTTGGAATCAGATTCGACTAATGCTCTAAAGTGGATTAAAAATCCGGACCTTAGTACTCCTTTGTTTAAATCCTTGGTGACGGATATAGCTACTCGTGTGGAAATGAAGGGTATTATCACAAGGCATATTTCGAGAGCTGCAAATTGGGAAGCGGATGAATTAGCAAAAGCTGGTATAGGTTGATTTTTGGGTTTCTATTGTGGTTAGAGGTGTTATATCTTGGCTGTTTTTTAAGGGAGTTGTTAGGGTGCGTTATGTATCCAGAGTTGTGGCTTAAAGGTTATGTTGTTAGTAGTTAGTCATGTAGGTGTGGAGGTGTATTATGGTTCTCATTAATAAAAGTTAGAGGCACTCTTTTCCTTCTTCCTATGCCTTTCATGTTATGTTTATAACATGTAGGGTATGAAGGGGTTTTTTAATGAGGCCTTTTTTATAAAAAAAAACAAAAACAAAAACAAAGATAACGAGGAGAAATAATAGCCATGTGCTGTTTATTTGATGCCCACGCTGAATTAATAGTGGTTGAACTACTCGGTTGGGCTAAGTGTAGATTACTAAGCTATTAGGTTTTAACCTATTTAGACAGAAATCTAATCTAACTTCTACTTAGATAAGTCATACAGTACAAGTTTAATAAATAGTAAAATACTAGTTACAAAGCCTTTAAGATTTACACGGCTACATTCTACACTAAGTACTTGTCAAAATTTTAAAACCTTCTAGACTGTTGACATATTAATCCTTTCAAGTTGCTGTTTTTTATATTTAATCAGTTTACTGTATGACAGTTTATTCAGTAGTAGACTTATCTTAGTTTTGCATGTGTTTTTTAACCCTGTTGCAGGTGAAGCCATTAAAAGAACTGACCTTTCAGTCTTGCAACATAACAGCTACAATGACATCTCGTCAGTTTCAGGTTATGCTGGATGTATTGACCAATCTTCTCTTTGCTCGGCTTCTGAAGTGAGTACATGCTGCAGTATTTTCTCCTGTTTCTTTGATGATCATGTTATGTTTTTCAGAATGATGTCGTTTTTTATGAAATTAATTGTAGGAGTTTCCAAATGTTCACTTATTTTGGCCTGTTGGATCTATCTATTGGCAAATTCTAGTCTTAAAATAACTACTTGTTTCTCCATTCTTTTGAAACAAGTTCTGCGAATGGGCTTTATTATGATAGTGTTTTTGAATAAATTGAATCATTTTTTTTCATTTGCAAAAATGGGACCTACCATGGATTTGATATGTGCAAATGCCCTTGATAGATCCAAATTCAACGGTTAGGTTTGGCTTGGTAAGATCAATGTGACTGTGGGTTGCCATCATTTTGTTTGAAAAGAATTTGTGAAGCAATTTCCCTAATTTAGAAGAGTTACTCTACTTCCTTTCCTGTTGTTGTTTGTTTTCCTATGCTTAAATGATAAGTGATATCTTTGTTCTGTTTTCCATTTGCAGCCGGGTTTTATTAACCTTACCAGGCCTCTTTTTTTAAACTATATTAAAAGCAATAAATGCATTTTGGTTTATTATTTTTTATTAATATATAACTCAAGTTGCTTTACACTTATTACCAAACAGTCTTATATTGATTTTTGGAACCTAATCTATCCTTCAAGATTCACCATTTCTGTCATATGGGTGCAATTATCTCGTAGTTTACTAATTACTTAAAGATGTTGCATATTTTCTGCACCAAGAGACGTTTTGGCAAGTAATACTGGTAGTGGTAAATTATTACAAATTTAATGCAAGTAATATGTTTATTCAGGCCTCGAAAAAGTAGTCTCTCTTGTCCTGGCGAAGATGATGAAGATGTTGGAGAGGAGGCTGATGAAGTGTTCCTGATGGTGTTGAAGAGGTGGAACTTGCCAAAATCACCCTTGAAACGAAAGAAAGGGAGCAGAAGTTGCTACTCAATGACATTAAGAAGCTGTCTCTTCATTGTTGTACTTCAGGAGACCATCTGGAGAAGGAAGGTGAATTGTGGATGGTAAATGGTGACAGATATATTGGTAAGAAAGAGACCTTGTCAACAATCTCAAAATTTCGAGTTTCCATGTTTTTTCGATTTATGGTCTCTTTGAATTTTCTTCTCTAATATAAAAGATTAATATTGTTAGGGAGTCTATAGATCCTGTAAATTTCTTTCTGTGTAGATTATAGCTGTATAAAGTCCTAACGAGTCTGGAATTATTGTCCTAAATCCTAATGAGCCTGTAGTTAAATTTTATTTATTATTTAACTTGTACCCTATATCTTATCTAAGTAGAAGATTGGATAGAATGTCGACTAGGTAAGTTAACTCTAATAGGCTCTAAGTATCTTACAATAGGATTGTATTTCTGTTGTAATCTGCCTATTTTAATAGGCCTTACTCTGTATATTCGTGAGAAAGAACTAAGAACAGAAAGTTCTCTGTTCCAGAAATTCCCTCCTTTGTTTCCTAGTTTCTACAGTCTGCAGTGAATGGTTGTTGGAGCTTATTATCAGTTATATGCAGTTGAAGGAAGATGCACATTATCTAACTGGATAGGACTGATTTTAAGTTCCCTGTTGCATCTCTTTCATACCAAATCCAATTTGTAAGTTCTCAGCTGGTTTATACCCATCACTCAAAGCATATGTATCTGTATTCTGTATCTATGATGGAAAGAATCGAGGATAATTTCCTTGAAAGTTAAATTCAATGCTGGTAATCTATTATCCTTATGTGTGCTATTTCTTGTGAATGTAGGAAGATACTCTACCTACATGTACTGAATCGTCAAATCTAGAAAAGGTTACATTGGTTTACATTGTACATAATTCTGTTGATCTGGCATTTATTTCAGAACTTCACGATGGAAATTAAAAACTTTTGAATATTGGGATAAGAGTACACCTTGATAGGGCATTTCAAGTTGCTGTAAATGCTGCGAGCTCTCTGTTTGTTTATAACTACATCTTTTATTATCTGCTTGTTTTATTATCTGTTATTCATGGGTTTGTATTACAGTCTGGGAATAGATTTTGTTGTGTATTTGTCTTCTAAGATTCCATATGGCTAATTATATTCAATGATACCACGTGGATTGGTTGCTATTATTTAGCGCACAGCAGATTTTTAAGCAATATGAACTTGATATGTGTAGGTGCAAGGACTAAAGAGAGAACTTATTAATGCAAAAAAATTAAGGAAGGTTGCATCTGTATCCTTACGGGCTGCTTTGCATAAAGCAGCTCAGCTACGGCTAATGGAGAAAGAAAAGAACAAAAGTCCATCCTATGCAATGCATATTTCTTTGCAAATTAACAAAGTTGTATGGAGCATGCTTGTGGATGGTAAATCGTTTACTGAGGCCGAGATAAATGACATGGTGAGTTCCTGAAAATTAATATGCTAAGAACTATCAATTTATATCTTCCTTCATCTCTTAACAGAGGTTGTATTTCCAAATACATTTGTTGCCCTGAACTAACTGTGATCAGGATCAATCAGTGTAGTCAAGCCATGTGCTTAGGCACAAAAGCACAGAGAAACTCCCTCCCTCCCAAATGTAACAGAGTAAATAAACAGCTCATCACACCCTCTCTGTGTGAGGTGTCTGTCTTTAAAAAAAAATTGCTTCTATAAAATAAGCTATCATATGAAATAGTTTAGGATTTGAGGGGAGCTGGTATAGGAGTGTTTTAAGTCTTATGTATTCAGTAGGAGTGTTAAGTATTTAGTCTTCTGTTTTTGTAAGAGTGTTGTTATGTCCTTTGTAAACTGCTTTATCTTTTATAAATTGATGCACTCTTTTCCTCCTTACGCTAGTGGGTTCCTGCCTTAGGGTAGAGAACTACTAAGAGGGTGGTTTTTAATGAGGCATCCTATTCCTATAAAAAAATAGTCAGTCATAAGATGCAGCTACAGATACATTTGATCAAAACGAATCATCGAAAAATATGCATACATATTTTTGCATATGTTATATACAAGAAAAGTTATTGAGAATCTCATTTACAACAGTGAAGCAAAGCAAGAAAGATTGATAAAACAAACCTAAATAAATTTATTTTATTTGAATTGTGTACTTGGTTTTTTGTACCTAGGTGGAGATCTTGAAAGGCAAAAAGCACTATTTAGAAAACCAGCCCCTTTTTAATTTCTGTCATCTTTAATTTTATCTCACTGGTGTGATAATACATGTACCATTTTGGTTCTTAGTAGTTAGTGCTGGGAGTCTGTTTTTTATGCTGGTGTTTAAGGTGTATTTGTTTAAGAAATTTGTACGAGTATGTTTTATTATAAATCGAGGCACTCTTTTCCCCCTTCCGCTGATTAAGGAACACCGTTTTGGTGGTCCGTTAATCATGAGGGGGGTTTTTAATGAGGCCTCACATTCCTATCAAAAAATAATAATAATACATGTACCATTTAGAGGAATGAGAAAAAGGATGGAATACACTTATCTTGCTGGAGATGGCTGTGAAGGCAACTTAGAGCTTTAGTTTGATGTGGACTTTGGATTAGGTCTAATGATGCCTATATTTGGAGTGTTAGAAAATGATTGGACTCAACATTTTAACTTGAATAACCAAAGCTGTATTTTAATGTATTAAATATAAAGTTTTTGATTTGTTACTGATCTTAGAAATTGGTGCCTTGTTTTCCCTTGGCATATGCTATTTATGCAGGTTGCACCTTTGAGTACAAGGATTCAATATTGGTTTTTTCGGTCCATTGCTTTTATTATTGTTATTATTATTATTTTGAAATTTTCACTTTGTTATTTATATATTGAACTATGGTTTAGTTGAGGTTTAGATTCCATAAGGAGTTGCACTTAAATAATGTTTTCTTTTGAGGATCGTATCTTACAAGTTTATATTACTCCTTTCATGCAGAACTACGATTTTGACCGTGACTATGAAGACGTTGGTGTTGCTCAGTTTACAACCAAGTATTTTGTTGTGAGAAACTGCCTGCCTAATGCCAAGTCTGATATGCTTTTATCAGCTTGGAATCCTCCTGCAGAATGGGGAAAGTACATATTTTTTCCTTAACTTTGTCGTTTTAGTTTATCTAATTAGAGCTTCACTGCAACTACTTCCGTGAATATTTAAAATTGCAACTTTTTTATCTCTTATATTGGCAACATGCTCATTTCAACCTCCTTAATGCTCAATTTGATGGCCATCTGCCAAAAGAAACTACTATATTTACTTCTATGTTATGGTTTACTGGTTTTGCAACCAATCTTTACTTGTTACCTTTCTGTTATCAGAAACTTGTTCTTTTGGGGAGTTTTTTTTAATAAAAAATATTTTCATTTGGAAATATGTGTGAATATGTTGGATTACTTACCTCTGCTAATGTTGTGATAATTTAGAAATTCATGGCATGATTTTTTTCCCATTGCAGAAAGGTCATGCTTCGTGTAGATGCAAAGCAGGGAGCTCCAAAAGAAGGAAACTCTTCTCTGGATCTTTTTCAGGTAAAACTCTCTTTCTCTCTCTTTTGTGATTCCTTAAGCATGTATTTCAAATGAGATTGAGTGTTTAATGAGTGGGAAGCTATGGTCTTTTTTATATGGTTGTTTCTTGTTGTGAATGCAAGAGCTATAATGGCATCATGGCTTTGGGGTCAGACAATGGTTGTGGGGCAGATTTTCTGATACATGTTGTTAAACCAGTGTTAAGCATAGAGTTCAGAAAGTAATTCTGTTCTCTCACGTGTATAGATTCACAAACAATTTTTATTAGAAATAAGCATTTCTTTTATATTAGATATCGGAAGCATTTGTGACTTCGATGAACTAGCATTTGTAAAAGCTGACTAGCTATATCTCTACTCTATAGGTAGAGATATATCCCCTCAAGATTCATTTGACAGAGACAATGTACAGAATGATGTGGGGGTATTTCTTCCCAGAAGAAGAACAAGATTCACAAAGACGACAGGTTTGTTTTGGGCTTTAGATGTTTGAGTTCATAAGAAAATTCGTAGTCCAATTGGTGAATGTCCTCATGCTTGAACTTTTGGAGATGCAGGAAGTTTGGATCTCCACAACAGCTGGTGCAAGACGTCTAAAGAAGGGTGCCTCAAACCATGATGCTTCTGCTTCAGGCAGTCACTCAACAAAGGAGTCTGAGGTACCATCCAAACCAAGTGTCTTCTACATCCATTACCAATCAGTCTACTCCTCCTCCTGCCCAAGTGAGCATCCTTATGTTTTCTTACCTTGTAGTATAGTCTATAGTGGCAACTTAGGGTGTGTTTGTTTCGCAATTTTTTTTATTAAAATAATAAATGGTATTAATTATATTAATAATTTATTTGTTATTAGTAATAAAAACATAATATATTATTAGTAAAACATAGGTGAGTATGCTTAAAATATTTAAAATTATAAAATTAAAATAATTTTATATTAAATTTTTAATATTTAAATTTTCTTACTATTTGAAAATAAAAATATTTTTGGTATAATATATTGCAGTTTTATTGGATGCCCCTGAATGGACAATATATTTAGTTCACCTTTCAATAATATATGTATATTTAGTTTTATTTAAGTTATGTTCTGATAAAAAAAATCATGTTACTTATAAGGGCAGTTTCTCAGAAATTGTCCTACACTTTTCAAAAGCCAAGACAATTTACAAAAAAAATTACCTTATTTTCCTTTGACTGGTAAGTGGTTTTCCATTCACCAAGTTATTTTTCTCGAAACAAACATCAGAAAATATGAAAACGTTCTCCAGAAGTCATTTTCCAATGCACTCTTAGTGATTTATTTATGTCATAGGTTCCTCCTCCATTGGCTTTGGATCATTATATTTTTATGCTTAAATTTCCATAAAACTCTTTTTGGAATCTACATGCAGACATAAAAAATGCAAGACCCAAAATCAAATGCTGTTTCTGGTTCTGGTTCTGGTTCTGGCCCCGAGTTGAGGAGAACATCTTCTTTTGATCGAACATGGGAAGAGAATGTTGCAGAACCAGTGGGTAATGAGCTTGTCCTACAAGCTCTCTCTTCCAGCATTTCTTCTACCAAAAGTGGAGCACTTGTTTCTGTTGAACAACTAGATGAATCCTCTAAAAATAAGATTAAAGACATGAAACCTGTTAAGTTTGGTCGATCATCTCAGGAAGAGAAGAAGATTGGAAAATCCAATGAAGAGAAAAAATCTAGGCCTAGGAAAATGATGGAATTTCACAACATCAAGATAAGTCAGGTAGGTTTTGTTTACATTATTTTAATTACTGATCTGATGTTCTGTATTTCTGTTATTTGTTTTTTAACTGATATATTTCTGTTGTGAATTAGGTTGAGCTACTAGTTACTTATGAAGGGTCCAGATTTGTTGTAAATGATCTCAAGTTGCTGATGGGTACTTTTCATTGTGTGGAGTTCACTGCGACTTGGAGAAGACTGTTCTCCCGAGTTAAGAAGCATATTATATGGGGAGTTCTAAAGTCTGCAACTGGAATGCAGGTAAGGGATATTCGATACTAAGCTACCTTCAAATCCCCCTAATCTAAAATTTCTCCTACTTTAAGTGCACTGGTCTCCATGCCCCCTCCTTTTGGCCTGGCTTTTATGACTTAGATATTTGTAATGCTTCATAAAAAATATATTAAAAATAAGACAGCGTGGAAAACAATGCTAGTTTTTAGAATTTGTAGATCATAACTGCATTTGCAAGATGATGAAGCTTAATTTATTTGTGAAGTTATAAGGCTGAATGTAGATCTGCTGACTTTCATATTAATTATTTGGTATTTGGTAGGGTAAGAATTCAAAGACAAGGCACATACTCAACAGCCAAGTGGAACTGGTGTTCCTGATAGCGACCTGAATCTCAGTGACAATGAGCAGGTTGAGAAACCTGGTCCATATCCAATAACTTTTCTTAAGCGTCCAAGTGATGGGGCTGGTGATGGATTTGTTACTTCCATCAGGGGCCTCTTCAACACTCAACGGCGTAAAGCGAAACAATTTGTGCTACGTACTATGAGAGGTGAAGCAGATAATGATTTCCATGGAGAGTGGGGTGAAAGTGAAGCAGAATTCTCTCCATTTGCCAGGCAGCTGATCATAACCAAAGCTAAGAGACTTATCCGGCGGCATGCAAAGAAATCACGCTCAAGGGGACAAAAAGGTATGTCTTGAGTGTCTGCCCCTTTTAAATATATTCCTTACCCTATTTTGTGTTTCTTACGGAAAATGAAAGATAAAAAAAAAGAAAAAAGAAAAGGGTATTCCTCATTTTAGTTTTGTTCGAACACTGGTGTGATTTTTGGGATTTCGCTATCAGGTATTGATTGATTTAATTTAGACGGACTTCACTTTGATCTGGTTCAGGTTCATCTTCTCAACAGAGAGAATCACTTCCATCATCTCCAATGGATCCGATGGACATCACTTCATTTGAAACTGACTCTTCCGGTGGATCCTCACCATACGAGGATTTTCATGAATAGAATATCTCTCATCAACTGATAGGGATTGTCAGAAGGACTTGAATGGAGCAAACAGTATGTGATCTGAAAACATATGCCCAATGTACTTCAGAACGGGGTTGACAAGCAACTGCATTTTGACCAACATTTAAGCGTGTGTGAAGACAGACTCCTTGCTGATCTTCAAGCAAAAGATGGCTGCAAATCACCGAGAGCTCGAGAAACATGAAGATATACCTGCTTGATGGTTACCCTTATATTTTGTGGTGGTTGATCTTTGGATGCCTGGGTTAGAATCATGTTTGCTCTTATTTACCCCTCTGCTCATCTGGCCTGATAGAGACCAAGAGATTGGAGCAGGTTCAAATCTATGAATTTTGTGGGTCGGATAGAAAAATATGAACAGATTATACAAGCTACCAAAAACTATAATTTTGTACTTGTACATACATATAAAATAATATATATTTCAAGTTAATGGTACATAAAAGGTGTTCATGACCAATAGGGTTCGATAACTTTTTATAAGCATGGTATCGCCATTTTGCATTTTTGTTCATTCTGGGTTTAGCCTAACAATTCAATCCTAAATTTTTGCCCCGTCTCATTTGTATTTTATGATATGAATAATTACGATTGACGTATTATTTATAGTTTTATCATAGCAGTATCTCTCTCTCTCTATATATATATAGAGAGAGAGAGAGTTATAGTGTCCCAACACTCATTTTGCATAAAATAGATTGAAACATTAAACAACAGTGAATTGCCTCTCTTTTTTTAATTTTAACCCGATTCTCTTAGGTGGATCTAAAAATTTTAAATTTTTTAAATAATGAATATACAAAAAAAATATTTTTATGATATATTAAATTATATTTAATAATTAATCTAAAATATTGAATATGCATTTGGTCCCTAGAAAACCAATTGCATCCGCCCCTGCTACATAAAGTCATGGTATAGTCTAATGTCAAAGTGGAGAATTGTCAAGTAAAATCTTTTTTGGGAAATATCTGGAAAGATGTGATGCGATCATCAGTAAATAATATTATACTTTAATTTTAAAGGCGGGAAATATGTCCCAATTTCTGATTAGGGGCTATAGAATAAAGTGTTGGGTATAATATTAGGTAAGAAAAAACATTTTAAATTCCAAAAGGATGGTGTTCAGACTGAGAAAGGGTGTAATATGGATTCATCCCTCTAATAAAATGTAATCGTGGTTGGTTCAATATTTAAATAAATATCCACCTAAAACACTAAATATAAAATTAAAGGAATCGTCCTTTCTGAGAACCTATGCCCATACAACTCTTACCCAGCAAGGGCGGCCCAATCAAATACAATAATCTAATAATTATTAAACATCAACCTATAATCGAAAAAAAAAACACAAATGGTATAAAAAAAAACCATAATTGAAGGCTCAATATAATTTCTAGTTCATAAAGCCAATATCATAATTGAGAGCTTATACTTCTCCCCGGTCCTACCGAACTCTTCTAATAGAACATTGCTGACACTTCTCTCTAGAGTTGCTCCTCCGGAATAGATAAGTTAATTTCCGATTAATTTATGTACATCAATTTATAAAGTGATCACCAAAATTATCGTAAATAGGCTAAAACTGTTTCTTCCAAAATGAATCTTTGAGAATCAAATGAGCTTTGTTCTGGGATGATCAATCACTGATAATATTATCAGTGCTCAGGAGTCGGGACATTATTCATCCCATGAGGAGGAAAACTGGAAAGTATGGTTCGATGACTATTAGGATTGATTTGGAAAAGGCGTATGACCGGCTTGAATGCAGCTTCATTTATGATCATCTTCAGGATATTAGTATTCCTGACGCTCTTCGTATTCTTATCATGCAATGTGTGTTTTTTTCATGCAAATACTATGAATGAGTCAATGTCAGATTCCTTCATGCACTCTAGGGGTAATCTTCAAGACAAACCGGATGAATTCCATAATATGGATCTTGAGTGCTGGATTGGTTTAAATATCACCGACATGCAATATTTCGCTATTAATTCATCTGATTGAGATTTATTTTTTGGTGATATTCTCTGGAATCTTTGGCTGTACAGGAATGATATAAAGTTTGGGAATCCGATGGAGTTTGATGGTTCTATTCTCGATAAAAGTCGTAACCTTCTATTAGTGATGCAACGTGCTTTTGTAAACCGTACTTCTACTGGATGTTTGAGCTCCCTGAGTAGGGCTAGTCAGAATCTCTGGTCCCCTCCTCCGATTGAATGGATCAAGTTAAATACTGATGGCATTAGATTCAAGCTTGATGGTCGTGTTTTGTGCGGAGGTGTGTTTCCCTATCATGAAGGAAGATGACAAACTAAGTTCTCAAATTTTGTTGGGGCCTGTTCAGTTTGGAGGCTGAGTTGAGTTATAAGGGGATCTATATTGGTATGATTTTGGCTTGAAACCTGGAGTTTTGACAATTGATAATTGAATTTGATAGCATGGAAGCCATTCACCTACTACAAATTGTGTCTGTCCAGTAAGGTTTCTCCACAATACTTCTTCAGGTTCGAGAGATGTGTAGACAAAAATGGGGTATTATGTTCAAGCATTTGAAAAGGGTTGAGAAGGTGGCCGATAAACTGGCAAAGTTAGCCAACTTTGATGTCTTCGATGCTCTTCAGTTCGACAACGCGCTTCTGATGTTCGAAGAACTGCTGCAAGCTGATTGTGGCAGATAAGATTTTGTAAGGTTGGTTCTTCATTATTTTACCAAAAAAATAAATAAATTGAAAGCTTACTATTTAAAAAAAATGAGTAACGTTACTAAGATTTCATATAAATCATTTCTCTATCTGCATATACGCTCATCTTTATTGTAGCACTATTATCTAAACATGATTAATTAGTTCACGAATCAAACTATCTTAATAGTTAAAAAGAATGATTGTTATTTTTAGAGTTCGATCACATCATATGTCAAAGGTATTTGAGCATTTATTGTCAAGTAAATTGAGAAACTTTTGAACATATATTGTCCCTTATAATTACTCTTAAATTAATAAAAGAAAAAATAATTGATTATAATTAGAATGATTTTCCTTCGTATACTTTTTGCACCAAGAATTTCAACTTTTCATATGCTTTCTTTGTTAATTAGAATGTCTATCTATTTATTTATATTTAATTCTTAAGCTACTGATTTTTATGTTAGGGTGATAAATTTATAAAATTTTAAAAGTGGATGAAAATAAATTATCAATAAAAAGTATCAAAATTATATAAATAAAATAAAATTCTTATTACTATAAGACTCCTCCAATAATGACCGTAGATATTCCGATTGTTTTACCATGCATGTGAAATTGTCTGCTGTAAATAATAATTGTTGGGATTATTTAATTATTTTAATTATGTTTTAGATTTTTGAATTATTTTTTATTAAAAAATGTTTATAAACATAAAAAATAAATCCTAACTGAATTATAATAAAATTAGTTTATCGATGTATTGTTTTTGTTATATATAATTTTATATAAATATTCGTCAATAATACATCTATTTGTATCTATTCAAATTTAATATTTAAAATTTGTTATATAAATTATTTTAAGTTGAAATAATATATATAATGTTTTTCAAAAAATTATTATTATATTATATTATATTATATCATATCTTATTTTTGTTTAATTAAATTTTAAACACGATGACAAAAAAATAGATTATGTAACGTTAGATGTAAATAAAAAATAATCAAACTATGAAAATATAAATAAAATATTAGATAATCAATTTACCCAAATAAAAAAATCAATTATAAAACCAAACTGACGGCCAATCTCTCAACAATCATAACTGCAAGTCTGCAACAACCATTCTCGTCACTGGAAAAACCCTCCCCTTTGGCCCATAGTGTTCTTTCTTCCCTCAAAATTTCAAGGGATTACGTTAAAGATGTGGACAGATCTACTTTTACAAGCCGCTATAATTCTGGTTACGATCTTCATGTTCCTCGCTATGCACGATATTCCTCAAAAGATCTTCACCAAAATCCGTTACAGGAATCGAGCTGGCTTCCAAGCTAAGCACCATTTCGTCCTCGGAGCTCAGCTCCTAGCTCAAGCCAGATCCTCCGAGTCCCGTTCATCCACCGCCTCCTTAGCTCAGAAAGCCGAATCCGAAGCCGACAAAGCTATTTCTCTTGATCCGAAAGACGCCGCTTCTTACATCCTCAAAGCCCTCGCTCTTGACCTCCAGGGCTTCAAGTCCTCCGCCCTTGACTCCCTCGACGTCGCTCTCTCCCCTCTTGCTTCCAAGTCGTTGACTGATAAAGAACGGGGCGACGCACTGTTTAAAAGAGCCGAGTTGAAGATGAGCATGAACCGCCGCAGCAGCCATGTCGACTCTGCGATCCACGATTTGACCAGGGCTGTAAAATTACTCGGGCATAACGCCAGGGCGTTTTGTCTGTTGGGAGATTGTTACGAAACGAAGAATATGAAAACGGAAGCTAGAGCTGCATTCCAGGAAGCTCTTAAGGTCGAGCCTACCTCCACCGTTGCTCAAGCCGCCATTGACCGATTGGGATCGTAGTTTTGACGTCGTCGTTTTAAGATTTTTCATTATTAAGGGAGTGAAAATATTGTTTTGTTGTATTTTTCTATTTCGATTTGTTGTACTTTTCTATCAAATTGGAAAACATTCCCGATCCCTTTTTTTCATAAATCTCCCATCGTTTTTAATAAAAAGAAATTTGCAATTTTAAAAATATATTTCAATTTTATTTAAAATATATTTAAAAAATTGATTGAAACTGAATTCATATAATAGACTTACTAATAGAATAGAATATTATTTGTCAGAATTCGAGTTCTAGGGGTTATCATTATAGATTTATAATTAAAAAAATTATAAACTAATGTTATAAATAAAATTAATTATAATACAAATTTAATGGTAAGCTTCGAATCGGATATTGTCCAACCTTTATTATTATTATTACTAATTTTATTATTATTAAAATTATAAAAATAATTTTATTATCATAATTATTATAGCCAATCGTACTGTTTCCGAGCAAGTTAATTGAGAGGAAGAAATACTAGCAAACACGTTGAACTCCATTAGTTTGACCAAATAAACTCCCTGCTTTCGATTTTCATTGAATAGTATTTGTTAACAATAAATAAAGCACGACTCGTAGAACCAACATGGCTTCTAACTCGAATGTATATAAATATGAGGGCTGTCCGATCATGGTAAAGGCACAAGGGTTTACCGTTTGAGTGTTGTTCAGAACAAGCTCAATATAAAGCGTAAGAAAAGAGTAGTTCTTGGTGTCTTATAATGGCGTCGAAGTTGAAAAACATGATACAATTACCGTGGCCTTGCTTGGGCTGATTCTTGGTGTCTTAGCCCGCTCATCTGTTCATTGGCGGCACGAGAGTTTACACGAAGAGAATGGAAGCAATTCCCGACAACAGTTTAGTGGGTTTAATGTTCTTAGTTCCTCAACCAATTAACTCAACATGAGTCTCTCTGAGAAAAAATTATCAAATAGGAGAGAGAATGTAAAGCTCCAAACTATTGCTTATGGTAAATATCAACGAAAATCAACCATGAGATCCAATTCTTAGCGGATTTTATGCAAGTTTATCTTTTTTAACTTGTGAAGTAAAAAAATTATCTTTGCATGATGCAATAAACTGGTATCCATTAAGGTAATGCTCAGATGTGAGAAACCAAAATTTTAAGCATACAACAGTAACAAAATGAAACTGCTTTTCATTCTTCAAAATGTTCAAAACCCACAATAACAGCACTCATATCTGAACCCAGCTACAATTTCCCTAATTTCCAATAAGTTATTATAATAGTGAAGATAAACGCTGATGCACAAAACAGTTCACTCCAATTTGCTAATTGTGCAAAATTCACATGTCTGTAAAGAAGCACATACCTATTCCTTCCCTTCCATGTTTTCTCTAACCGCAAAATCAAATCCGGACGATTGAGCTACCATCTACTTTTTCTTGAACCTACCCTTGGCCTGCATTTGCATGGATCCTTTCTACTGCCTGGTTTTTCTGACCCAGAGAGGGGTCATCCATTGAAGCTATCTTGTTGCGGTCAGTCAATTTAACCAAATCAGTTGGATCATCATAAACAATAGAATGTTTATGTTCCATGTATGGAGCCTCATGATTGCCGTAAACAGAATTCACAGCTGTTAAAAGCCCATTTTTAGAATTATCAGCAACCTGGTGAGCCAATGCAACATCTGCAGAAGGCATATCTCGCTTGCATGAGTCACTCTCTATCTCTATATCTTGGGAACTCCCCCTAACTTCTGTACCTAGTGTTTCCGAACTCAGTATGGCAAAAGAATCAGTATGAACTGATTCTGGTTTTAGCAGATCATTCGAGCCAATGGCCGAAGTTCCAGTTGTTTTGTCTTGAGAAGGTCCATCATTTTTCCCATAGTGTTTTCTTTTAAACATTTTCTTCTTGTACCGGGCTTTCTTGGCCTTAAGAACTTTCAAAGTCTCATCAGGATTACTAGCCGTCTCTGTTGCCCTCTTTCTGCAAGGAATAACCATTAACTGAGAGTTGTTGAATGCCTGATTAGATGATTCCGATGTAGTCGACTGAATAGCCAGTAAAGCAATTCTGGCAGCTTTGATCTCTGCTTCTTTTTTGGTTTTTGCTGCAGCTCCAATATACCGAATGCCTCCAATCTCAACAGTACATGAATAATGAGGCAATCGCCCCGCTGATTCATCCTTCTGGCACTGATATACGGGCATTGCATAATTCATCTTTTGCGCATACTCCTGTAGTAGATTTTTGCACAAACCTGTCTCGTGCTGAAGCAGAAATCCATAGAACAAGATAGTTCAGAAAATCCAAAACAAAGTTACGTAATAAAGGAAAATGCTAAGCACTAACCGAATTTCATAATTAAATCACAATAAAACTTACAACAGGTTGAGAGATGCTTTCATTGATTTCACCAGCCTTGCACAACTCCCTGAGAGCAACTTCAGCAGCTGAATGCTCTGCTGCCTTGCGATTAAAAAATCCGGGCAAAGAATCATATCTAACATTATTTACTGTCACAGTTGAGCTAAACGACGGTTCATGGGAAGGGCCTTCCTTGATAGTCTCATATACAGGTGTAGGAAGGCCCGCTTTTTGCGCAAATTCCTGCAATTGGCTCTTGAAAACATAGCAATTGGAAACACCTGGAAACAATATTTGAGTAAAATAAGTTGCAGTCCCACTTAAATGAGGTATGAAGAATTCTAAGGAACAATACATTAAAACAATCAGCTAGAAAAACACAATTCCAACATTGAATCGATATATCATAGATCTCAAAGAATTATGATCTTTGAAAATCTTCAATGGGTCTGAAATCTTGAGTATTCTAGGAAAATCATAAAGGAACAATCCTCTAAAACAATCAGTCAGAAAACCACAACTCCAACACCCACCCATAATCTAGAGCTTGAACAAAACCTAGACAATCATAGCAATTAAACTCTTGGATTCCCCGAACAACATGCCGTCTTTCACAATTAAAATTCACCACTTACAATCTCATCCATGATAATCTGAAGCAAATTCAAGCTCAGATAAACAATAAATTTGATTCAAAAGAATATCCATTCCATTAGTTTGGAAGGAAGATAATAAAAGGTGAAATTTAGCAAAGAATTCCCAGCAAGAAAAATAAATGAAAAATTATGTATTACCTGAGAAGTTCACGTTGGTGGGCATGGCTGGAAGTGATTCTTGAGTTTTTCACTTGACTGAAAAATCGAAAGAAAAATCAAACAAAATAAACGTATTTGGGTGGGAAATTGGGGCCGCACCCTAAAACTTTCTTAGCAGTATGCAACACACTGAATGAAAGGGTTTGTGGAAAACTCGCGTCCATGGTAGTGTTAATTAAGGTGAGAGATCAACACCATCCACGATGTGAGACTGGGGTTAATCGCACGGCCATTAATTTTTTATTTTTCTTTTTAGGGTAAAATATGTAAATAATTCCCTAACTATGGATCAATTTTTATCAAGTCCCTCTATTATAAAAAATATATAAAACAAACATTCGACTTAAAAAAACAAGTTGATTTTTTTGTAATTTTTTGATTAATTTTTAATGAGGAATGATGTATCAATTAATAAAATTAGCATAATAATATAGTTAGCCAACAATTTCTATTCTTTATATAATTTTATTTTAATTGTAAAAATTTAACTTTCAACATTTAGATGTTACAATAATATATTTAGTCCCGTTTGGTGTGGCTTTTTAAACGCACTTATGGTTAAAAAATTAGTTTTAATCGTAAAATCAATGTCAAACGGGTTAAAACTAAATTGCGGTGGAAACGACGGTTTCAAACTAATTGCAAAAGCTATAATTTGTAGTTTTTTCATTTTCAATTTTGTGTTTAAGAGCAAATTATAATTTTATCCTTATTGATGTATGAGCTCCACTCAATTATGTATTTATATTTTGTTTTAATAAATTAATATCAACATCCTTAAAAAATAATTTATTACTTAATAATTTGTTGTAATTATTTTAAAATAAATAAAATTCATGGTTTATATATATTAAAATATTAATAATTTTATTTTATATTCATGTGTTAAAAAATATTAATAATATATTTTTAATAAAATATTTTATTTATAAAAATATTATTAATGAGTTATCTTAAAATATTTTTATATTTTTATTATAGTTTAAGTGATATATTTTATATATCATAATATTAAGAAGGGTAAATATTATTATGATATATAAAACTCACTTTTTAACAACAATCTCAAACAATTAAATTTTAAATTGCATTTTTAAATAACACTTTTAAAAATTCTTTTCTACCGCACTTTTAAAAATCTATATTCAAAAAACATGCCAAACTGACCCTTAGTAATACTATTTAAAAGCACTTGTAGTTAAAAAATCATTTTGACCGTAAAATTATTGTCAAACGGGTAAAAATTAAAAAAAATTGTGAAAATAATGATTTCAAACCAACCGCAAAAACAGAGATTTCTAATTTGTTTCATTTCCAACTTTATTTTTATAAACAAATTTATATTTTTACCATTACTAATGCATGGACTCCACTCATTTATCATGAAAAATAACTTTGAAATTCAATTTATTTTATTAATTATATAATTATATTTTATTTTAATAATTTAATACTAATATCTTTAAAAAATAATGTATTGCTTAATAATTTATGTTAATTACTTAAAATTAAATAAAATTTATGATTTATATATTAGAATATTAATAATAAATTATTATAAAATAATTTTATTACAATTATATTTGTTATTTGTATTTTTTTATTTTTATTATAATTTAAATTGATATATTTCATATATAATAATATTTTTAAAATTTTATTTATAGTATATATCTTTTTATTTTTAAATGGCTAAAACGATAAAAATATCATTTAAATTATTTTATTTTAACTTGTTAGCTAAAAAAATAGAAAACACTAGCTGCATTGAGAAGTGAGAACCCTAGTTACGTGAAAAATCCTAGCATGACCTTAGCTGCATTGAGCTTTGAAGAGTGATTGGCAGTGAGACGATGGTAATTAGTGGTGCGACGGTGGTCAACGGTGGTGTGACGATGGTGAGACCGGCGCAACGATGGTGACGATGGAGGAAGAACATAAGTTAAAGAAAAAATTAAAATGGAATTAAAGATCGGGCAGTAAAAAGTTTGGGGATTTATGATCCTATGGCAGCATTTGTATAAACAAACACCACAAACGTATGGGTCTATTGCGGCTTGTGGAACACAAACGCCACTAGGTTACGAGTATATTGCGGCGTTTTATAAAAAAACCACTTTTTATCATTTTATAGTGGCGTTTTTACTACAAACGCCACAAAAATAAATGTTTTTGTGGCGTTTTTCCATAAATGCCGCCATTTACCAGGCTCGTTGTAGTGATAGCAACATTTTTATATAAAACACCACCGTTTAACACTCTATAATGGCGTTTTTATCATAAACGCCTCGACCTTTGTCATTTGTGGCGTTTTCTCATTAAACACATCTATATATAAAAAATGTAATGGCGTTTTCTCTTAAAACACCGCTAAAAATGTCGTTATAAATCTGTTTTACTGTAGTGAAAGGTCGTCCGTCAGAATCAGTGGTGAGTCTAGGTGCTCCGTCTGTCCTGGAAAGATCGGGTTCTCTCTTGACGTTTGAGGATCAGTAGGCTACGAAGGCAGGCAAGCATGAGGAACCAGGGGTGTCGGTCTTAGATGTGCATAACATGATTGTGAAGATGGAAGGAGTCGTCAATGCTGGTTGGTCAAGTTTATCGAAAAATTCTGATTCGACATTGGTAGAGACGCACATGGCTCAGGTAAATGTTCTGCATGCCTCCATGACTGTTAATAAGGTGGGGGTGGATCTAAAAATAGTGTTGGACTTGGGTTTAGTTCGAATAGATATATGTACCTTTTATGAGATTATCCCTTTGACGTACGAAGTCTTCGAAAATGACATATATGCAAACAAATTATACTAATAAGCAGCTAAAACAGCTTTAAACTTAATGACGTCTCCTTTATTTTTTTCATTAATTATTTCAATATCAAATTATTATTTTATAAAATTTTCAACTTGATTTGAAATAAGACTGAAAATGAGATTTTTACTATAATAACATTTTTTTTAATTCCAAATCATTTGAGCATTGGCGGATCTAGAAATTGAAAAAATAAGGTCCAAAATTTTAATACTCGATTCTAAAAAAATTGGGTGCACAAATTTTCTTATTTTTTCCTATTCTAATTAGTAAACTAAACTAAATTTAATAATTTTCTTAAAATAATGGGTGTGCAATAGCTCCTCTACATAGTCATGTATATCCGCTCCTGCATTTGAGGTTCAAATAATTTTAGGGTCGCATACTATTTCAAAACAGCCCTTTTATTTTAATTTTTGTGATATTAAGTTTATCTCTGACGATAAACTTTTGTAATCATTTTCACTTCATTTTTTATAAGTATGAAGTCCATAAATCAATTTTTTGTTGTTGTTTAAAGAGCACGAACTATAGAGGCAAGACTTGTACTATCCAAGTCACTGTAGAGCAGTTAGACACTATTAAATCGTATTTAGACACTATACAAGTTGATATCCAGTAAAAACTTTCTATAATTCAACAATGAGGATTGATGTGATTTCTATTTGCTCGGTGAATGATCCTTTTGATTTGAGTCTTTTAGGAGACCACTAATTAATATGCGATGCGTCAATATTGGGGCATAGGATTTCTTTTTGTGATTTTTTTTCTGTAGGGTTTCTATAATGTAAGATCCAAATTGTTAAACTAAAACTGTCTGCACATGTTAATAATTTGATGTGCACGATTTAAAGACATTTGACGCTATATTTGAATCTATATTTAACTTTTAATTAATAGGAGAGATAAAAAATTATTGATGTAATGTTAGTATTTTAGATGTTTAATTGCAATTATTTAAGATATAAATATTATTGAAAGTTTTGAACAAACAAATGCTTAACGCAATTAACGTTTGAAGAAGAAGAAGAGTGTGTGAAACAGTGGGAAAAAATCTAAAGAGGAAAAAATGAAAAATAAAAACAGAAAAGAAGATGAAAAGACAACCTTTTAATTTGCATTTTTTGGTGCGCTGTAAGAATATGTTGGACACGGAAAACTGAACCCAGGAACGAACACCCCCCCCCCCACAAATAAAAAGCCATGTGGACCCCTGATTTTGCTCTCCTATATGTTCTCGGGTCAATTTCATCCCTCTCTCTCTTTGGGTCCCTGTCCCAAAAATACACGCTTTCAACTCCACCATCTGTAACTCTGATCACTCTCGCCCCGAATCTTCCATTTGTTTTGTAAAAAAATTATTTACTTTATTACTTTTGAAATTATTCGGGGGGTTAAAGATGAGTTCGAGCTCGGATTTGGTGAGTTTTGTTGAATCGGTATTGGGAGTGTCGTTAGGCGATTCGGTAACGGATTCTATTATAGTGATCACCACGACGTCGGTAGCGGTGATTATGGGGCTCTTGGTGTTTCTCTGAAAAAATCAGCTTCTGAACGGAGTCGTCATTTGAAACCGTTGGTAGCTACTAAGCCTGTTTCACTCAAGGATGATGAAGATGATGACGCCGCTATCGCTGCCAGTAAAACTAAAGTTATCGTTTTCTACGGCACCCAGACGGGAACAGCAGAGGGATTTGCTAAGGTAAGGTGACGTATGGTCGGCATTAATCCCTTGAAATTAGAGGGAATTGAAATCTAATTCTACCACTTTCTCATGTTTGATTCAAATTTTCAAAGGGAATTGGAATTTCTCATGACTTCAACTTTTCATTAAATGAGGGAAAGTGAATTCCATCCAAGAATTGATTAAATTCAATTCTCTTATTGGAGGGAATTGAAACTTGACCATACTACCTTCATCAATCTTTTGGTAATTTATTCATATATTGAATAAAAATATTTTTTTATTATTTCGGTTCGGGTTTCTAATTCATATATGTGAGTCGGGTCGGGTGAAACTTTATTTTGGTCGGGTCGGGTCGATTTTTTAAGTGTGATATTCGGGTCGGGTCGAGCTCGGGTTTACGGTGAAAAATACCCGACCCGAAAATATATATAATTTTACCTTACATATTTAGGAATAATTACAATAATACCCCTCTATATATAATTTTTTTTCTAATTAAGTCATTGTTTTTATTGAATAAAAATAATTTTTTTATTATTTCGGGTCGGATCGGATTTCTAATTCATATATTCGGGTCGGGTCGGGTGAAACTTTATTTTGATCGGGTCAGGTCGGGTTTTTTTTAAGTGTGATATTAGGGTCGGGTCGGGTTTAGTGTGAAAAATACCCGACCCGACCCAAAAAATATATAATGTTATCTTATATATTTAGGAATAATTACAATAATACCCCTCTATATATTTTTTTTCCAATTAAATCATTGTTTTATTGAATAAAAATATATTTTTTATTATTTCAGGTCGGGTTTCTAATTCATATATTCGGGTCGGGTCGGGTGAAACTTTACTTTGGTCGGGTCGGGTCTCGGATGGAGGTTCCCTTGTTCTCGGGTAAGGTCGGGTGGACCAAAACTAGACCTAACCCGACCCATGACCGTCCCTAATTAGGATGATTTTAACTTATAATGTTTATTAGCATGATTTTTATAATTTATTAAAATGAGTAATTAATTAATAAAATTAAAATTTATTTTTTTTAAAATTTTTATAATATATTGCTACATGTAATTTATAAAACAAACTATAAAATTAAGTAAAAATAACAAGAATGACAATCCTGTCATTTTACATTATTAAAATTAAATTCATCTGACATATCTGTGAACCAAACAGAATATAAAATTAGATTTTAATTCAAATTCTTGCCAATTAAATAGAATATAAAATTAGATTCTAATTTGTGACAGATTTCAATTCAATCATAAAAAACTCTACCTTGTGAATTTTGCAACAGCAAAGTTCTGATTTTGATTGCCGTGTACGGTGATTTGATTGATTTGTTGAAAATGCAATACTTTTTGGCTGTTGACTACTTGAGTGGGCTGATACCTTTTTTTTATTGAAAATCGGAACATAACTGATGTCAATACTGTTAATTTAGCTTAGAATTTTAAATTTTTAATCACCGATTCGTTGTGGAAAATTGGGTTGTTGGTATAACTAATTACACGTACAGATCTGGATTATGAAGTAGCAAAGAGATTATGGAAATGATTTCTTTCAAAGTTAATTACTTATGAAGAGATTTAGGGGTAAAGCCAATATTTGAAGTTTACTGCCCCTCTTGTACGGTTTCAAACATTTTTGGGAATGTAACTGAATGTTTAGTTATATCAAATTAATTATTCATAGGCAATTTACTGGCAGTATGGATTTGCTAAGTTTTCGTGTTTGTAGCTTTCTGTCACTCAGAGCTTAAAGAAATCGGGACTTGACTATAGATAGAAACCTGTCATCAATAATTCTTGATGGTACAGCAAATTGTGGCAAATTTAGTTACATGGAGAGTGTCTTTTTTGTTTTCTCCTTTTCTGATAGTCGCTGTAACACTGGGCAACAAATCGATGTGTGCTTGGCACATGGTAATGAATGATTGGAAGAGGCGCCTGTTTTGATTTAAATGTTCTTTTTTTATATGAGAATTTCGTATTGCAGGCTTTAGCAGAAGAGATCAAAGCAAGATATGATTAAGCAGCTGTCAAAGTTGTTGACCTGGCAATGTATAGGGAACTATTTTGCTACTTTGTTTTCTTACTTGACAAAACGGTCTAGTAAATACTATTACGTCCATTAAGTTGTGTATTCTCATGTTAGGGTGATTATGCTGTGGATGATGAACAATATGGAGAGAAGCTCAAAAAGGAGACTCTAGCCTTTTTCATGGTGGCCACGTAAGATAGATTCTTGCTTCTACCGACACTATTCTTGGTTGTTTATTTGTTTTGGCATTATATTATGGGGTATTTAATGTAGTTGAGTATGATTGTAGTTATGGTGATGGTGAGCCAACCGATAATGCTGTGAGATTCTACAAATGGTTTACTGAGGTTGATTGATACTTGAAAAGAACATTCAAATTTAAATTTTGTATCATGCCGGCATTGCTTTTTTATTTATTTATTTAACACTCATAACTACACTGTTTTATTATACTTCAGGCAAATGAAAAGCAGCCCTGGCTTCAACAACTCACATATGGTGTTTTTGGTCTGGGTAACCGTCAATATGAACATTTTAATAAGGTAAACTGCACAGAGAGACATAGGACCCACTCACTGAATAAGGCACTTAAGGTTATGCAATTTGCTTTGATTGCTTGTTTTTATCCTTTACAATTGTTTAATCTGGTTTGTTGGTCCTTTTTGGATGTAGATAGCAAAGGTGCTTGATGAGCAACTTTCTGAACAAGGTATTTTTCTATCTTGTTTTGAGATTTAAGCCTTCTGATCTAATTGATGACATTTTTCTTACTAATGACCGTGGAGTTGGAAATTCAAGGCCAGGTGCAACTTGGGAGGTCCAGGATGAAAATTTAGTCAAGGTTTCTAGGGTACCATAAATATAAGCATATGCCATTTCTTTAAAATTGCCTAAAGAATAAGATTTTGGAAAATTGATTTCACGATTGAGCTATATCATTTCTTTAACAGTAAACAAATAGCTGATAGTATATCCCATGCGTTCTTTGCATCCAACTTTACTCTCTCGACAACTGAGGGTAGGATTGTTAACTGGATGCCTTTTTCTTCTGTGAACAGGTGCTAAACGTCTTATTGAAGTTGGTCTTGGTGACGATGATCAATGTATTGAAGATGATTTTACTGCATGGTATGTAATCTTCTTTCAGTGTTTCTATCTTCTTTCAGTGTTTCTCTATGGCTGTCACCCATCTTGTTGTCTCGCTCAAATGATTCTGTTAATTTTTTTTATTGAAGCTGAGGCATGATCTTAACAAAGTGATGATGGCGGTTTTCTTGGGACATTACTTCAATCTTGTTCTTTTTAGCTTTATTTAGATGATTTTTTTTTAACTTTTAGATTCTTCCCTTAGGAGAGAATTGCTTTGGCCAGAGTTAGATCAATTGCTTAGAGATGAAGACGATGAAAATACTGCCTCTACCCCATACACAGTTGCTATTCCTGAATACAGAGTAGTGATTCATGATCCTGCTGTGATGCACATTGAGGATAATTACTCTAATCAGGCAAATGGGAATGCTTCATATGACATCCACCATCCATGCAGGTAATAGGTGTATTGCGATGGTTTTCAAATCCCTTCTCCTTCCGCTTTTATTTCCTTTCTGAGGTCACTGTTACATGATTTGCACACAGGGTTAATGTTGCTGTTCAGAGAAAGCTGCACAAGCCCGAATCTGATCGCTCCTGTATACATTTGGAGTTTGACATATCAGGGACTGGGATCACGTAAGTTCACAGCTTTGTTATTTTTGTTACTATAAATTTCAAATTGATTTTCTGTGAACCAATCTCTGTGAAAGTTGTATACATTAAGTGCTTTGGGCCCCATAGATTTTGTTTAACAAGAATAGATAATTTGGGCTTGTGATTTGTGATCTTATTTTCTTCCAATAATAAGTTCAACTGTCGCAGATATGAAACTGGAGATCATGTTGGTGTTTATGCTGATAATTTTGCTGAGACCGTTGAGGAAGCTGCAAGATTGTTGGGTCAACCTCTGGATTTGATATTTTCTTTACACACTGACAATGAGGATGGCACACCCCTTGGAAGCTCATTGCCACCTCCTTTTGCCAGTCCATGTACACTTCGAACAGCATTGGCACGATATGCAGATCTCTTGAACCCACGGAAGGTAAACCACCCTCAACCGACTATTTCTTTTTTCTCAAATCAAAGTAAAAAGTTTCGAGCTGATTTCTGCTCACATTTTTTACTTAATTGGTTTCTTTGTTTTGAAACTATTTTTGTGGTCAGGCTGCTCTCATTGCCTTGGCTGCACATGCCACTGAATCCAGTGAAGCAGAAAGGCTTAAGTTCTTATCATCACCACAGGGAAAGGTTGATAAGTGCTGCTGTTGTTTTATCCTTTTTGCCTGTTCATGTTTGACACTCTATTTTCTTATGTTCCTTTATTTGTTTATGTGCTCGTGTCCCTTTTAAAATGTCTTCTTTTTTTTTCCCAGGATGACTACTCACAATGGGTTGTCAGCAGTCAGAGAAGTCTTCTTGAAGTTAAGGCCGAGTTCCCATCAGCAAAGCCTCCTCTTGGTGTATTTTTTGCTGCAATTGCTACTCGTTTACAGCCTCGTTATTATTCTATCTCATCCTCCCCTAGGTTATTGAATTTATCCCATCTGTTTTACCCGTATGCATTATTACGTTATACCTAATATTTATACGAAGGTTGCTTGCTTGCTTTGAGCAGGTTTGTACCCCACAGGGTTCATGTAACCTGTGCTTTAGTTTATGGTCCAACTCCAACTGGAAGAATTCACCGGGGTGTGTGTTCAACATGGATGAAGGTATTGATTATGTATCTCTTTTGTTGCTCTTCCCTTTCTAATAATTCATTCATATTGTCTTTTATGGAAAGATCGCTCATACTATCTATGTGCTAGAGACATTACTTAGGCTTTAATGACATCTGACACTGTACTGTATTGAAAACAAATTCAGAATGCAGTTGCTCTGGAGAAAAGCAGCAATTGTAGCTCTGCTCCTACTTTTATAAGGCAATCTAATTTTAAGCTACCAGCAGATCCTTCAATTCCAATTATCATGGTTGGACCTGGGACCGGATTGGCACCTTTCAGAGGGTTTCTACAGGTTTGTTACTTTCTGTTTTACAGGTTTCTTTTATTTTAGAAAAAGAAGAAAATAACTTGTACTAAATTGCTGTTTGCAGGAAAGAATGGCTCTTAAAGAAGATGGTGCAGAACTTGGTCCATCTATACTCTTTTTTGGATGCAGGAATAGGCGAATGGTTAGGATCTGATTCTGATACTAATAATCTTTTAGAAATGATATTGGCATGTCTTATTATAACCGGCCTACGTTGCTATTTGTATTTAGGACTTTTTTTATTTACTTTCTTGGCAACTTTTGTAGGATTTCATTTATGAGGATGAGCTCGAAAACTTTGTGGAGCGAGGTGCCCTGTCTGAGCTTATTATTGCCTTCTCGCGAGAAGGGCCACAAAAGGAATATGTTCAACATAAAATGATGGATAAAGTAAGTAGTAGAAGTTGGAAGAACAGAAATTGTAGTCTGATATACAACTGTTGCATTGTAACATCTGTTGCTTCCATGTTCACAGGCGGCGCATGTATGGAACCTAATATCTAAGGGAGGATATCTTTATGTATGTGGTGATGCCAAGGGTATGGCAAGGGATGTTCATCGCACTTTGCACACTATTATTCAGGAGCAGGTATCGATCTCCCTTGTCAGAAAACCTTATATTTTTTATCAAGTTTTTCAAGAATGCCTGTAATGATAGTCAACTGTTTCACAATCACATCCTGAAAGTTTTTGTCTTGTTACAAGCCAGTGTCCCCCGTTCATAAATTTCCAAAAAACTGTCAACAAATTTCAGGAAAGCGTGGATTCGTCAAAGGCAGAGTCTATGGTAAAGAAACTCCAAATGGAAGGACGATATCTTAGGGACGTGTGGTGATGGCTGCCCATTTTCATTTTATCCACAGGCCAAATATGGTGATGAATTTAACTTCATTGCAGAAAGCTATGATGGTCATATAAGAAAGCAAAACTGGCTTCTTCATATTGTAAGAAGTGGCATCAACTGCTAGATGTTAATCCACCTTTAATCTTTAAATAGAAGGATCATTTATTTTTAGACTTTGCCCTTCCATTCAAAGTTGTAACAGGGGAACAGCGACTTACAGAGGATGTGAAAAACATAGTTGTCATTCCAGTGTTTGTACTGAATAAATAAATTTGTAAAATAAAACAGGATTTTTTGGCTCTTATTACCATGGTTTCTTTTCAACTGTGATCACTTAAATGGTTAAGTAAACACTGGGAAATATATGTAAAGTGTGGCACTGTGATTATTTATTTATATATATAAAAGCAGGATTTAAATGAATTTTACCGTAAAGAAATCCATTGGTATTTGACATTGCTTATGGGAGTAAAAGTGCTTCATTACCACACTGATACGAGTCGACATAAATTTTATTTTCATTTTATTAATAAGATGATAAATATCTGTCGCTATTAGTTCTGACACTGCGCTTGAATTATTGAATTATTTTTAATTGAAATAATAATTATTTTGATAAAAAATTTAAATGTTGAGAATTCAATAAATTAAAATCAAATTAATGAAATGCATAAATTTTTAGAGTATAATTATTATTGTATCAGGTGGTTATCATTTTCGTTAAATCAATGTTAAAAATCAACTTAAAATAATTAAAATAAAAATAACATTAAATATAATATTTATTAAAAAATTAGTGCTAAATATAAAAACAGATAAAATATAAATAGTTTAACTTAAATACTTTTTTATCCGTTAGTAGGATAAATTTTAATCTTTTAAATGTTATTTTTTTTTTGTGCATAAAGAATTGTCCGTCCACCTCTATTGGTAGAGCACAAGATTCTTAATCTTAGGGTCGTGGGATCGAGTTTCATGGTAGGCAATTCATAATTTAGAGGTCTCCCACAGAAGTTGTTCTCAATCTGGTGTTGAGGACAACCTACTATCCTACCTCCCTTTATCCTATTATATATGGAAAAAATGATCGACTAATTTTCTTTTTTTGGTACATAAATGTTATTTTGCAAATTAAGAGTGCGTAAAAACTACTCAGCAATACAGGTCACAGCGTAATCAATCTCATCCGTCTTTTAAACTGTCAGACAACGTCAAATCAATCAACACTTTCCAAGGATTCCAACTACTCATGTTGGATCCTTTGTGGTACACAACCAAAGGGATTCCCAAAGGGATTCGAAGCCAAAAGAAATAAAAAGATGAACGCGAGGTTGTTAGTGAGAGTGTAGTGGTGAATAATGTACACCAATAAATGGCCAGTTAACGGTGGCAGTTCTCTTTCCCTTCTGAACTTGATTTTGGAGCCAGGGCAGCTGGTCCTTTGCTGCTGGATTCATCCTGTTGACCAGCATTTCTTTCCCATAGTAATTTGCTGCCATTTGATCTCATTGCTCTTGGTAACTTCAAAGGGATGGTATCCGATTCAATTGGGCACAAGTTATCTGCACTTTTGGGAGGTTCATGATTTTCTGGCTTTTCCGGTGCTGCAACATTCTCTGGCGGAGCAACCGGAACCAGCTGAATCATTGAGTTCCCCATTTCTTTCTGCGGTTAGGCCTTGGTGCATCTGATTTAACCTGTCAAAATATAAGCAAACTCACTGACAAGACATGATTATGCGTAAATGGAGTGTCAAAAACATGTCTGAATATGTTAAGAAATTATACCACTGTGTTTCCAATGTCAGAGAGTGCTTTTCGCTTTGTAGGGCAGTCGTCATTTGTTTCAGCTGTCTTGTCACCGCCGAATGCATCCTGGAGTAGCATTGCACCATGAGCAACGAGGTTATTGGTTTCGTTATAACCACCATCATTTGCTTCTGCTTCTCGGTTGGAGCACTTGACTGAAGAGCAACCGCATGACTGCCCACAGGAACCTCCGTTTGCTCTGCATTGGCACTTCGATGTTTTGCAGGAAGACTGCTTAGTGCTTACTGCAACTGCAACATATCCCATCAATTTTCTCACTAAACCTCATCACTACATCCCTTGTTTTCTAAGTCATTGCTATCTAGTTGGTGCGCTGCCAAAACCCAAGTTCTAGATCTTGAAACTCTTTTCTGTATCTGCTTTTTGCCTGACTGCACCCACTCGTCGTCGTCGTCGTCATGCGCATCCATACCCGAATGTTCAGATTCAGATATATCCATGTCCTCGGAAAAGATCATTGAGTTTCGGTGTTCCTATAATAATACTTTAAGTAACAAGTAGATGGCAATAGAAAGTTAAAGAGGAGGGGAGTGGAGTTTACCGGTTTCCGCTACTCATACTTATGTCTTTCGCCACTAAAGTCAGGGATGCTAGAATCCATGGTTCCTTCAATGGAATGCTTAGTATTTACATTCTGTTGAAAGATTAATAACATAGATTCAAAACTATAGACATATTAAAGGAGAATATGGAACAGATAATTGCTAATAATCAACAGACATAAAGTGATACCTTCTCATTGAAGTTAGATTCAATACAAACAGAAAAATTACAATACTAACCTTCACTTTCAGTTGATGAACAAGATCAACCTTCTGTGCCTCAAGTTGTCGAGCCAAGCTACTAACTTTCACTACTTTTTCCTTTACATCTCTTATTTCCGCATCCTTCTCTCTGCAAAGAACCTCTTCTCTCTGCAAAGAACCTCCTTCTCTCGCAATGAACACCTTCAAAGAAGGGACGGCAAATTATTAATTGACACAAATAAAAACAAGATCCGTGTTGGTTAACTACCATGATAACAAAGCAAAAGGTGCAGCAAATCAATTGGTTAAAGAATGGAAATGGAACTATTAGCATGCAAATTTTCTATTTGGAAATATGCATTACCTTGAGGTTGATGCTAAATTGAATAGATAATTCATAATATTTTTTGCATCGGCAAGAGACCGGACATGATTCCATCGTCCTCTTCCACTGAATATACGTTCACGTTCTTCAGCTTCAGACAGTTGTGAGGCCATAGAGACCAGAGTGTTAGATGTAGCAGCAAGCATGTTTTCTAGAACAAAAATCCTTGAGTTTCTCGCACCGGGAGACAGTGTCTCAGGACAGTCTCTGCATTTGGTAGCATTAAAGGAAGTATTTGATTATTTGGTTTACATGATAATATGTAGAAAAAAAAAGAACTATTCAAATTATGAAGAGCATATATAAAAGCAAAAGTTCTAACCTTAAATTGCCACGTTTAAGTATCTCAGCTCCTTCCTTCAGTCTTGCAACCTCCTTGGCCATTTTGGCCCTCCTATATATTGTATATACAGAATATTATTTTAATAGATTCAACAACATTATAGAAAGAGTCCATAAGAAAGATTTCACTTCCTAGTTGGAATCTTATGAATAAGAAATTGACAGAAATTGAACCCAAATTGCTATATTGAAACAAGGATTCCATGCCATAAAGAGAACTCACTCTTCCATCTGTCTTTCGTATTCAGAGCGTACTTCATGTACCCGTACTGTGACCTCTAGTTCATGCTCAATTGTCTGCATTATTGCCTTGAAAAGCAAGAAAAGTACTCTACGTCATAAAAGAGTCGCTTGGTACATGCATAAAAAATTGAAATAAAACCCAATCATGACAGTACAATAACATATGTTAGACCAAAAAAAATTTCTAAGCAATTCAGAACAAACTATTAATTCTGTAAGTTGATCAATACCTGAACTCCAGGACCATTGCCATTTCCAGCACCTGGACATGAAAATTTATTGTTATCGAATTATAGGTACAAGACTACAAAAATAAACTGCAACTCATAAAAGGCTCCTAACTGGAAGCTTCACGTGAGGAAGCCTTTCGAGATTCAAGAAGTTCCTTTAGCCTTTTCGTAGCCATAGCAGCCTCTTCACTCTTTCTTTGCAATACCTAACGCACATACTCATTTCTCCTTCCCTCTTTCTTAAGCTAGTTATCAAGAAAAAGTGAATAATTATAAATTGAAAAAAAAAAGTGTTGCTTGAATTATCTAAACCATAAAACTCCCAGAATTTTAAATAGGAATCATATATCATTTGCTTCCTCATTTCTATCTTTTTTTCATACGTATCAACACAATTTCTACTTAGTGCTGACTGTGAATCTGAGGAACAAATAACAACTAGATTTTCTTCAACATTCTAAAGCAACAACTGCTAATAGTTTTTTTTTATGCAAGAACACAGCAGCTCAAACCTAATATCTCAACCGCCCATCCCACCATTACCACTCGGCAAGCCGAAAGATACAATTATTTTCAATTTCAAACTAATATAACTTAGATGAGAGGTATTGACACGAAGAAACTAGAGAGGTTAAGAGTATAGCATAATTCAGTAATCACAAGAAAACATCACATATATCAATTATCAAATGATTACTATTCAGATAATATGCTAGATGCTAACTGCAAAAAGTACATAGCTTAAAGGTGCAGCCAATAACAAATATCTATTACTAACAAAACCATGAAGTAAAACTTGCCAAAAAAATTTACACATATAGTCCTCCAAGAGGTTGTTGCAAATAAAAAAAACATATATCCTATGACAAAACCATGAATTAAACATGCAAAATTTAGAAAAAATAACCTCAGTGACCAAAAATCTCATATAATATACGATTTTAACCAACTTTTTCCGGATTTGCCAAAATGACCAACAAAATCACAATACGATCGCTAATTCGCAACGCGATCTCCATTATCTCAAATCAGTTTCCAGATTCGCAACGCGATTATTACTATCGCAATGCGATTTTCCAATTTCGAATTGCGATTTTCCCAATTCGCATTGCGAATAAGTAAATCGCAATGCGAATTTGGAAAATCGCAATGCGATACTGACTATCGCAATGCAATTTTCCTAATTCGCATTACGATTTACGTATTCGCGTTGCGATTTTCATAATTCGCAATGCGAATACGTAAATC